AGTTTTCCTAGAGCTGGTTGGTCAGTGTGTCCCACCAGCCTGACCAGGTATCTGGGGAGTCGGACTAATCATGCCAGAGGATCTATGTCCTTGGTCTTGTGGCCTGTTAGTAGACCTTTATGAGGACAATGTTATTTCCCTCACATTTTCCTCTTACTTTCCAGAGTAAGCAGTCAGTACTTTCACTACGAAGCAGTCAGTGCATACAAAGCAACCTGTCCCCATGTCTCTCCCTCCTGAGCAAGCTCTTCCCATCTTCAGTGCAATGGAGAGTTGGGAGATCACTACCATCCTTCCAGCAAGTGAATAAAGGTTGTAAAAGGTGTGCACTGAAATGTCCAATTCCTGTTTTCCCACACTGCTACTATTAGCTAGTTAACCATGCTGGTCAGCCCTTGCCAGCCACAACCCTGCTGTTGTTTTACAGATCCTGCTTCCGGATCTTTGTCCCTAGAGGTATCACCTGAAAAATCCACCAGCATGAGTCCAGAAGCAACACTGAAAGCCCTCCTCACTGAGGTTTGGCAGTCACTCACCACCAGTGATCCTCTTCTTGAAGCCAGTGGTCAAGGAAGCCACATCATCCCTGTAATACCCTCCACAGTGAGGTACACAGGGATGCATCTCTTCGCGGCTCAGCCATTACCCTCCACTGGGACAGCTGATGAGCTCTCCCCCTCTTCAACCTCACTCCCCAAGCTCTGCAGCGCCTTCTGATCTGCAGTCCCACTCCTGTCCACACAGTGAGCGTCCAGCACGGTCGATGATGAACTCTGCCCAATGTCTGCAAGACCACAGGTCTGGTCTCTGTGCAGCAGCACCCCGCCTGGGCAGAGGGATGCCTCCTCCTGCCTCACAGCAGGGCGATCGGCAGTGGGAAAGGAATGGGTCTCTGTCACCTCTGGTCCTGGCTCTGCATGAGCTGCCTTGATTTTGTGGCTGGCATCCAGCAGAACCAGCTCCCCTTGCAATGCCCCCTCACAGCAACTGTGCATGAAGTTGGTTAAGTTGGCCTTTAATTTTGTAACAGAAAAGAAAAGCTCATTTGATGTTCATTCCCCACCCAGCCTAACACAACTGAACTTCAATTTGGCAAAGCTACCTGGTATTCCTAGGAGGGTATTTTCCCTGTACATATAAAGCCACAAAGCCAAAGAAATCCGAGAGCACATTAAGGGTATGGCCATTCCCACAGAACAGTGACCAATCAAAAGTGTTGCTCATTGTTTTATTCTTAGACCATTTATAGGAAGACTGAAGGAGAGGGCTCCTGCCCACCCACCCTCCACTACAGCCCTTTGCACACACTCTCAATTCATTTTAGACCTTCACACTCAGCACTTCTTAGCTTTCCTCCAATGATTCAGGCACAAACAGAGAAGACTGATGTTTTTCACCCGCAGGATAATGACAGGTGAATTACAGATTTCAATTCCAGATTTGTCGGTTCATTTCAGTCGCATCTTACTCCGACGCAAATCGCCTTCCTTCAGTAAAGCCATGAAGCTGCTCTGCTTACAGCACTAACCTATTAACCACTCACTGCCCAAACTTTGCTTTTTTGGGGCTTACCTGGCAGCTAACAGATTTGCCATAGCAGATCTTCTTTACGGGGCTGTAAAACTCTTACTCCCTTGGCCACCTCATAGCAGTTATCACATTTCTTCCCAACAGCAGCTCTGTTAGAAGGAAACTTGTAAACAATAACTGTAAGCAATAACCAGTAGTGCCCACTGCTTTCTAAGAAAGCAGCATGGGGGCAGTGATTACTTTCTAGGGCAGAGCACTTGCTTAGGTTGCAGGAAATAGTGTTTAATTGTCTCCTTCGCCCTTTTCTTCTCCCTGGAATGTGCTAGGCAACAGCATGGCACAGAGAAAAGATGAGATTTGCACTCTTTCACTGACTTAACTCCTCTTAGACATTTTGCTGCACCGCAGCAGCACATAATCAACAAATTCCCTGTAGCATGCTCACAGGGGACATGGCTTTCAGCAGGGATAAAGGCAGTATGCGTTTAAGTCTCTTCAGGCGGACAGGAGACTCGAGCATGAATCAGTTACATTTCCCTAGCACCTCCTTTATGCATGGGTACATAAAGACTGTACCACTGCAATCTGACAGCCACCAGGTTAGAAGGAAGCAGCGCACCATGTTCAGTTTCTAAACACTGCTCAGAAATAGCCAAATCACTTTGAGCCAAGATCACAGACGAAAGGTGCAGAGACTGAATCCAGATCTTCCATAGCATCAGCCAGTGCCTACAAAACCACTCTGCTTCTGAGCCCCCTGCTCCCTTGGTTCTTACAGTCTCCACAGGTTAAAAGGAATGTAACCCAAAAGGAAAACTAACACAATGGAAAGATGTATGTCTGTACACAGCCTCTTAACAGTTGTTTAACATCTCACAGGAGAAACTGGCCACTAGCCCAAAGTTCTCGCCCTCCTTTCCCAGCTGTTTATCCCTGCCCAGTCCCAACCCTGCAGCAAGGTCTGTGTGAACAACCAGCTCAGCTCTGCTAACTGCAAGACTGAAGAACACAGCATTAGAACTGGATCCCCGTCGGATGCACATCACTAGCTGAAGTTGAGCTTTCTGATCTACCTCCTTCTCCAGTTTAAATTCATCTCTGCCGACTCCACCAAATCACAAGGCTGGTTCACATCTCTCAGGGAATGCTATTGCCTTCGGTGCTACGGTCATCATTCAGGCGTCTTTCTGTCACAGCACACCCTTTGCTCCACCATGGAAGGGGGATGTGGCGGGGGGTGGGGCGGCTGCCACTGGCATTGGGACTCACATCCTCCCAAGGAAGCCTTCCACAAGACTCTGCTCTGCAAATGCAGCTTGTCATGTTCGCTGCTGGCACAGCAGCCTCCGCCGTCAATTTACAAGGCATCAGGTCCTGGCACATTTTACAATATCCCCTCAGCAGTCACTGTGTTCGACTCCATCCTCTCGCAGAGTTACCCCTAGAAGAAACAGCCAAGATCTCGGAAAAGACTAGGGAGGGCTCAGCTCCAGCTTCCCTCCACTCGAGGAGGGGTTTCAAGCATCTCCTCTTGCCGACAGACTGACAGAGGGGGAAGCTGTCAGCAGAACAAAGAAACCAAAGTTTCTCCATAACTTACCCCTGATAAATTCCGTACTCCTAGCCACAATCATGAATAGTCTGCAAATAAACTTACCTTGGTTCCAGCTCTGGACATTTTCCGTTCCAGCCAAGCTCCCCAGTGCTGGAGGAACGTCAGAAACTGTTACAAACAGCCAGGATCCGAGGCGCCCTTTTTATAATGGGCTTGTTTTAAACCAGACAGCCGCTTTGTCATGAGAATAGGATCCAAAAATTGAGTCAGTGATTCCGAGGCTATAGCCGGTTTCTAGAAAAGCAAACAGGATTATGGAATAAAGGAAGGCTTCGCCATCCTCCCTTTGTTACCATTTGCTGAGTCAGAACACCAAAACTCTGCCAAACGCACTCAAAATGCACAGCCCCCTGCCAAGTCCTGGAGGACAGGGGGCAATTTGGCTGCTTTCTCCCTTTCAAGCATGTTAAACAAGAAGGTATCCTCATCAGCTCTAAAATGCCCATCCCATTTGTAAGGAAGACACCCAATATTTATCAGAGAACGTTCCCATGCAGCGAAGGATGCAGCTAGGAAATGGTCAACATTGTAGCCTCTGTGTAGAGGCTCTGCTTCAAAAGCTCCTAACAGAAACAACTGTGCAGCAAAGAGGCTGCGTATTTTTATAGCACACATTCAGCTTGAGCTATATTGCTCCAAATGGTGCCTGACATAGAGGAAAAGAAGTATGTCTGGCCGCACACCCACAAAGTGAGTGATTTCACACATCAAATAGTAAAGAATGTGCCTGAATTTCTGACAAAATCTGCCAGCGTCTCAAATTCAACTCAAAACTCTTACACCACTGTCTGAGGTTTAAGCAAAAGTCCTTCTTTTTGCTATACTCTGGCCCACTGAGCAGGGAGGGCAAGGATTGCTGGCTTATGTACGCGTACACCCCCCCGCCAGTGCATTATGAAAAAACACCTCTGCAGCTATTCACTGCACCAGCCCAAAGGCTTAGTGAAACAAAGGGAAACGAATTTGGCACAGCAGTGCCTGAAACACACAGACCCTATTTCAAATCTGCCAGGACAAGCAGTCTTGCAACAGCAGCTCTGTGTGCCACCCCATGTACACTACCGCAGCTCTGCTAAATGCAGTCAGATATGACAGTCTGAGACAGACAGGCTCAGCAGCATCCCGTCCTCTTCCCATTTTAGGTGTCTTGAATCGCCTAGTACTGTTGCTTACAGCTCTTACTGCTAGAAAGCTGTGAGGCCAATTAGATTTTTTTTTTTTAATTCAAATGCTGTCTTATGAAGATCAGAGTTCAACCACAATCCAGGTCCTATCGAAAGGTAACTCAGTAGGTTCACTAGGACATCTCAAAGCTCCACTGCGGTCACTTTGAACATCCCTCCTTTAAAAGCTGGTTAAATATAATAAACTCGCCTTGCGTTGCATGACCTGCCTCCCCGGGAGCCAAGAGAGACCTTCAAAAAAATTCTAGCACCGCCACAGCTGTGTACACCAGAGCACTAAATGCCCCTGCCTTCCTCTCACTCTCAGGTTGGATAGCTCTTCACAAATCACATACAGCTGCTGCCTTCGGTCATCCATGCAATGCCTTTGCCTATTTTGCCTAGCTTATTTAAGTGCTCAGCTACAAGCACATCTCCCCAAGACAGGTTCCGCTAGCACATGAGAATGGTACTCATTCAAGCTGATACTCTTTACAAGAAATATTAAAGGCAGGAAACAGTGTTTGTATTAAAATGCTGTGCTAGGGCAGCCTTCAAAACCTTCAACTCCATGGCTGTTAATAAATTAGCACTTTTCTCTCAGCTGACCAGTTCACATTTCATTAAGCAGTAAAGATGTCTCCCTCTAACGCCCACTGTACAGGTAAAACCCTTTCCCTAGGACATGTGTCAGGCTTATCTGAGAACTCTGTTTTATTGACATTTGTCAAAACAATGCAAACGTGTAAGAAAGTTAATTCCATAAATCACATTGCTTAAGTGCCATCTTCATATAAAAAAATCCATTGAATTTCATTCATTAAAAAAATCAAATTTTCACATTTATAAAAACAGTGCAGCTGGCTTGTACCATAAAGATGCACACCATGGCCAGGGCCCTGTGCCCAGCTCTGCACCACGAAGGGCTCCTTTGCTAGATACTTGCCCACCATGGACACTAACCATGATGACAGCATCCCCACTAAAAGATCTGCAACAAGGCGTACTTGTTCATGATCCTCTAGTGACATGCACCTTCTCAGTTACCAACAGAATAGTTACAGCACATTCCTGAGAAAGAGGCAGTGATCAGAAATCCTAAAGCAGGCAGACAGTCCAATCCATGCCGAGGCTGGGCGTCAGGTCCACATCAAGTGTGTTCAGGCAGGATGGCTACAAAGTCTTAATCAGAACTGTTTTCAGTATATCGCTGCCTGTTCCCAGATCTCTGTAACAAAATAGAGGAGCAAATTTTACTCCCAACACTAGCAAAGAAAAAGCAACTCAAAGACTAAAGAAAAGGGAAAAAACCCAACTTTCTAACAGTTTGAAACATGCAATGGCAGAAAAGCATGATAAGGGCTTGTCTCCGGCTCCTAAAACACTTCTGCTTGGGAAGAGAAAGACACTACAAAGTAAGCAGTATTTGAAGTTTCACTCAATTCTCTTAAGCAAAAAGTGAGACAGGTAAGGACAGACATTAATACACACAGCCCCTTTGAAAGAGCAGCTGTTCAAATAAGTTTTTACATCAGATTATGTACAATATGCCTATCTGCCTTTACAGACGGACACAGATGTCCCTGACAAATCAAAGAGAACACCTGCAGAGAACAAGGGAGGTGCTGAGTACACAGGGAACCGATTCAAATTGAAAAGAGGTTTTGACTGCAAAATAAGAACTAAAACCAAATGCAAAGCTCTTGGGATAATGTCCACTGAACAGCCTCCTACTTCTTCCACTTCTGCCTAGGCTGTGCATACAAACATGGGACAATTCTTCTAGATAGAAAAGAATCAAGAGAAACAGGCCCTCTACTCACCCTTCCTTTCCTTTTGCTATCCAGCAGGAACACGATGCTATCCTGCTGCCTGCTTGGAGCCTACTGCAGGAGGGACAAGACTATCCAGCTGCTGACGGTTCCCTGTCTGAACCAGCCATTCATAGAATTTGTTTTCTACCAGCGTCTGGAACTGTTTCCTCTGATCCCTGAAACCAAAAGAAGATCAGCAGGGAAGTGTGTAAAGGTCACATTTATTTATAGTATTACACTTCTAAACCTCACCTTCACTACCAAAACAAGCCTCCATATATATCAGCTAAGAGCTGGGCTTGGTTCATGAACTGCCTGTACCAGGAAGAGGTTTTTCCCAAGTGAACAGGACTATAATGAACCCCAAAAGCAGAACTCATCATGCAAACTCCCTCATCCCACTAGCACAGCAACCCTGCTCCACAGGGCTGCCTCTGCTTTACTCTTAGAGAACAGATTAAAAACTGTCTGAAAAGCGAGAAAAAGAAGATTAGTAACCAGCATTTAAGCACTGAAGCCACAAAATTCTGTTCTGACAGCATCTGAAAGAGAGAGGATGGGGATCAGGAAAAAAAAACCCGTGCATATAAACAACACCCCTCAGATAATTCCCAGTACTGGTAAATAACTTTTGGGGTGTTTTTGGCAAGACCAGCAATAACAGGGTATACCACTAAGCTCAGGCTCTCTGGCACTGGTCAGATGTCTGAAAGCAGTGCAGGCTCACGGCAGTATTTCTCCAGAATAGCATCCCAGCCATCTGGGATCAGCTCAGCTCCACAATTTCTTAAGCCAAAGGTGGCATGAGTATTGAGTAGCTCCTGCTGCACTTTTTTTTCCTATGAGCTTATGCAATTCCTTTCAGAAACAACATAAAAAATGAACGTTTTCAATACCCTGTGGAGATTTTATGTGTTTTTGCTTTGAACTCGTTCCTAATTTGATGTGCTGATCCTATCCTGTACTGGGAAAAGCAGCAAACCAGCCCTATTCATTTTTGTGCCACTCGGTTTCAGAGAGGTTCAGTGTACCCAGACCCTTTTTTCAAGTTAAAGGCTCTTTGTACTATCACTTCCATTTGAGACATTCCCCAGAAGGCAGGGTTCTAGGACAGAAACTAACCTAAATTCCTCCCCAGTGAACATGAACACCAAGGCAGTCACTTCTTTCTTCTCCTAGGGTTTTATCTTCTCCAAGTACTTTTTATATACCTTGATCTGCTACTGACCCTGAAAGACTTTGTCTGATATGCTCGGAAAATGAATAAACAGGATTTTATGCTTTTGCAAGTTGTTCCTCAAGCTGTCTTATTGGTCCTGTCTTAGGGGTTTTTACTTTCAGCCTGGCAGGATTTACATTCTTCTTTTGCCCCACTTTCCTCATTCAGACCACTTCAACTTCTTGAAAGATGTCTTCTTATTCTAACATTCTCTTTCACCTCCCCGTTCAAGCATGGCAGGTTTTTTCTTTCTATAAGTCTGATATCCTGTTTGTTCTAAGCTTCCTAGTTGTCTCCCTAGTTGTTTCCCTGCCTGCAGAAGACAGAGACATTTTACACTGTCAGCTGCCCAGTTTCTTTTCAGCAAGCTTCTAAACTTGGCAAAGTGTTCCCCCTTTTATGAAATAAGCCACTCCAGTACCGAGCTCTTGCCTCTTGTGACTGCTGTAGAGGATGTTAAATCTAAGCACATCATCCGTATTACCTCACATTTCTTTAACAGTAAGATTTTGACAGGCCTAACACCTTCACAAAACCCTGGGGTGAGAAGCAGCAGCCCTGGGAGAACAATGGCTGGAGGGGGAAGAACCTTAGATGAGGTTGATAGACACAACGGATGACTCTAGCACAAGGGCTGAAGTTATAACTTTCGTCTCTGCTGCCCTTCAGGACTCAAGGACTGAGAGTTTTGAAGGTTTTTACACCTGTCACCACCACTACTGCTCAGCCACCCTCCACCTGTAGCAAAATCCTGCCCCAGAATCCTTTCTCCCTCCCAGTCTACAGCTCTTTCAAACTGTAGGCTCCTCCACGCTCGGCACAGAGGCACCTGGATTTCAAAAAGGAACAAGGGAAGCAGAGGCTGCTCCTCCAAAACAATGAATGATCAAATGGACTAGAACTCCTTGGCTTGGTATGATGGGAAGTGTGGACAGTTTGACCCAAGAGGTGGTTTTCATATTCTGTGTTCCCCACAGGATAAACCCCTCCGACATCACTGCTTATCAGCACCCAGTTACACGCCCGTTACGGGTCATTGACTGAGCACAGAACAGAAAGAAAATCTATACAGCTCAAGTGCAGCTTAGGGAACAAAAGTTGTTATCTCTTCAAGCCTTTACAATTGAATATCTGGGTTTCTATCCCCATTCTGTATTGGCAAAGGAAGCCAGGTCCTTCAGGTTGCTGCATCAAAACAGTTCACAAAAAGATAAAAGCAGCTAAACTGAGGTTGGCAGAGATTTGTACCCTTGCCTGATCTGGCTGGCTGCAGAAGAAAGCACGTTGACAAAGGAAACAAGGTGAACTTTTTCAGAACTCTGCAACAGGTGCTGAGAAAGCAAACAGACATGCATCACTACATGAGATGGGCTAGGATAGGCCTAGCTAGCACAGTAAAAGCTGGGCAGAGGATTCGATGTGATCTGATGAAAAGGACTTTAAAAGCTACTGTCCACGAGGTGATCTACTGTAATGGTCCACATGCACATTCTTAGCTCACCTCAGCAACAGATGGGACAGTATTTTAAAGCTTCGACCTCAATGTAAAGGTTGGGCTAAGAGTGACCACCAATCAGCTGCAGGGCAATAATTAGTTGAGCTGCTGTTCAGGGTACGTGCCCAGATCTCACCCACGGCAGCACGCGACACTGGAAGCAGAACAGAGACAGCAGAGAGACAGTACCCAGCATGAGATAAGTCATAAACTCTTACTGCCAGGGTGGATCCCACACCTCAGCCCTCAACAGTATCTAGGCGTGCTTTTTCTTGAGTATCACAAGCTAGGAAAATGCAATCATGACAAAGCACCTCCTTCAGAGTTACGATTGTGAGCATTATTCCTCTCACTATATTAATAGCAAAGACCAGGATCCCAAGATTGCCAATTACTAACGCTGTAGAAATGGCATGCGAGACATGGCTCATGCAAATCAATCCATTATTAAAGCATTTTTTTTGAACCACATCAAATGAATCTTCTGTTTGTATGGCTGAGCTGAGCTTTAACGCAGCTCACACATTCCTGTTCGGATGCAGCACTCACTTGGTCAGGCCCGCCTCCTTCACAGTTTTCTGCCAGATCTGTACCTTCTGCTCTCGCTGACTCACTGCCTTCTGATACACGTGGGGAAGCCCACCCGGCGTCTCCGTAGTGTCTCCTTCCATCTCAAAAGGAATCACAAAGGTGTAGAAGTCCGAGGGCGGCAGGAGGCGGAAGACACTCGTGTCGCCGCTCTCCTTGCACACCAGCATGGGGCTGTCCCAGTAGTTTGGCAGAGTGGCCAAGCCCACCTGAGCCATGTGGTCTTCAAGCATTGGATAATGGGTGTGGAAAGGGGCAAAGCTGACTGCTTGGTTCCCCGAGAGGATGAGAGGCTGGGTAGGCGTGAGAATGTAAAAAGTACAGCCAGCGGTGGAAGAAAGGCACAAACGGTGGCAAACCACGATGACCTTGACGTTGTCACAGCTGTGGACGTGAACAGACGCCTGCACAGGGCCAAGGACAAAAGTGCTATTCCGGCACTTCTCAATGGTCACAGATCTGCGAAAGAAGAAGAGAGCAAGGACACAGTGAGCAGAAAAGAACAAAACCAGGACTTTTTCACTGCTTAGTCCATCTAACAAGAACTTAGCACTTGAACAAACTTGCTGGAAAGACATCTAGCTGTGTCCCAGGAGAACAAAAACTCACCGGAGAGGAGAGAGGAGATAAATGAAGGACTCGTTGCAGCGATGAATTCTTACGTGAGCCCCCACCAGGGTGTCCGAGCTCTTGGCCAGCGTCTGCTTGTACACCTGGCTCATTATCACCATGGGGAACACCTCAGGCACCACACGAGTATTGCAGGCAATCTTTGCTCTCCTGGTTGTTCCTTCAACTGCAAAATAAAGTTAACCAACACATTTAAAATGAAAAAAAAAAAAAAAACCTAAACCCACAAAAAGGCTATACATGGTTCCTACAGAGACACAGACATGATGGTTCACTCTCCACATCACTCAACAATCCCTCAAGAAAATAATCAGCCCAAAACTTCAAGGACGGTACCATCAAACTGCGTCACTTTACGCACCAGTCATACCATCCACCAATGCCTACTGGGCAGGTCAGCAGTACGTAGCAGTCAGAAGCTCCAGAAGTCGGGGCACATTGAAAGATCAAAAACACTTCAGGATTATTCAGGGGCAGCCAAAGCCTCCCACAAGCTACAGACAGCCCTGACCTAGGCACCTCCATTTCCAGAAGTTTGTTCCTGAACATAAGACTTAGCTTGGCAGGAAGATCCTTAGGGCAAGTTTTATGTTGAAAGTGGGAACTGTACGTTTTAAGACAGTGAAATGCTCCCTCTACAGTACAATCCTTGAGCAACCTCACTGTCCTACCTAACGCGCTGCCATTCTTATGATTGTGCAGTCACAGGAAACAAAACACTCATACGAATTTTTTTCTCCTAAGGTGGAAGGTGCCTTGGCTCCACTGTCATGTCCCTGCAGGCGAGGGGCCGCAATTCAAGGCAAGGAAACCTAGATCAGTAATCAGCTTTGCCACAAACACATCACATTATCTATTCTCTGTGTCCAGCCGTACTTGAATAATGAGGATAGTGATAGTGACCTCACTCAGAGGGGCCTTTGAAAATAAAGTCATTAATGCTTGCTCACGAAAGTGATCCAAGGACCGGAAAAATATGCACAGATGTCATGCAGCACCCTCTAGTCCCCCTCTAAGCTGTCATTTTCCCTATCTCCACTGACAGTAGGACGAAAAGGAGGCAAACCCCCACCCCACTGCCAGATCCCTGGTCAGCAAGGGAAGCTGAGACAGGAAAGTTATTTCTAAAAATAAAGGCAAGGCCTTTAGCTACCTTGCTGTGCCCATGCAAGTTTCTTTCCAGACTTGAGGCAGGCAGTCATTCCAAAAGGGTTTGTCGTCAGGCAAGACCGCAGCCAGCTCTCTAGCTTGGGGAAAGAGAAGGCTTTGGAGACCTTTGAGTAGCCATTCTGCCTGTGACAGGGCTGCCAGAGGGCAAGCTCGTGCAGAGGATGGACCGTCCTGGATTTGTTCACGGTCCCTTCAATAAGAAAGCTGAGGGCACAGACGGCTTCGTAGGACACCAAGCTACTGTGGGTGGAATGGGAGGAGGCAGTGAGCTGCTCCGGCTCCAGCAGCAGTTCCAGCATGTCCGAGAGGTGGCCCTGCACGAAGGCGCGGTGGTCCTGATCGTTCCAGTTCTTAGCGGGCAGAAAAACACAGAAGAACGAGGTGAGTTCTCACAGAGCTGACAAGCTCCACCAACAGTATACAATGCATCCTTGCTTACACTTGTTCTAAAAGAGGGAAAGCAAGTCAAACGTGGTGCTCTCTCCTGCTCACTGCTTCTGCTGCTCTGCTCTTCCAAAACACAGAAAGGAAACCAGACTCATCAGCAACCTCCCCCCAAAAAGAAAAAAACATTTTATTCTAACCCCAAGTACCAAATATTTCACTCTAGAAAGCAGAAGCAGACTCTCCTACAATTCTTCCCACACAAATTCAGCCAGCTGCTGCTGGCAATTGAAGGTAGGAAACAAATCAATAACTGACAGTCAAGGTCTTGCAACTGCTCTATTGGAAAATCGCTGCATCTGTTCCAGACCTTCAGATATGATTAAGTGCCGCCTTCCGAGGTGCTGCGGGGAAAAAGCAGAGGGTCATTTCTTCATAGCGAGCAGACCAATAAACCAGACAACCGCTGAAAGAATCATTAGTTCAAATGCTAAAGGGCTGCATACCAAAAAAAAGCAGAAGACTGGAATTATGGCAGACGTTAATAAAAACAACCTTTGCTGGCCTGGGAACTGCAGAACAAGCAACACACAGCTGTGATTACACGTTGGCCTGACCACCCGTGAGGGCTATAGCCAAAAGGGCGTAACAAGCAGCTGCGAGCGTCTTGTCTA